TCTATGATGCTGATGTACCACCTCTTCACGATGTTGCACCTCCTCTTGCAGTGATCTGCCGTGCGATTCCATAGAGCTTCGGTCCTCTCCTGGGAAATCGCATCCCATACCTTCGTACCTGACTTCCCTTTCCCATACCTCTCCGAGTCCAGTGCTCGGGCTGCCAACCTCTCTAAAAGAGCCTTCAGCAGGACTATAGTCTCTCGTCTCCCCATCGCCGGAACAGGTTCTTTTAGGCAGAGGGGCAGTAGATGGCCTAGGCACATGACAAGCAGTCCCATTAACGTTTTTGCTTCCCCCTCCCATCTCACCATCACCTGCTGCGCTCCCGACTTCGCCACCTTTCCTCGCACCTGCTTTCCCTTGCAGAGAAGGCGCAGGGGGTCCCATTAACGAATGGCACACCTAACGTTTCAGGCCGTGTCCCCCTCCCTGCACCCCATCACCTTCGCTACTCGGCACCTGGCTTTGCTGGAGTGCAGAACCTCCTGTCACAATCTGAGAAGACGCAATACCGCTGGCGGAAACTGCAATGTCTACCTGTGATTGCGAAGCAGTCACTGGCAGACGGGGAGATTGCAGGGAACTCATATGGACTCCACTACCTTGTCTGGGAACAGAGAACACCATTCCCGGCACTGGCACACAATGAGGATGGGCTTGCGGGACGGCCCCCCCATCTGTGGACGAAGCAACACCATTCGCCGCACAGCCGGTAGCAGAGGGAGTGGTGGCCGTCAGCGGGGACACCTATGCATGTGCTGTGCTGGTCGAAGGATTACAGCACAGAGGAGATAGTGGAGTGGAGGGTGACATCAATGGCCATGAGCACGTCGGCATAGAAGTATGGGGTGGAGTTAAAGTGGGTGACGAAGAGAAGACCAACCGTTGTGCCTGTGAAGCAGGCCCGTGAGCACCGGCCTGCACTGGCGTGAAGCAGGCCCGTGAGCACTGGCCTGCACTGGGTTGATCGACTGAGGAGGGGCGACGCTGTGTCTGATGCCCTGGGTTGGAGCCTCCTTTGCGAGGTATGACAACACACGCCGAGCCCTAGTGGAATACGGCATATGACTGCATGAGGCTGGGAAAGAAGCACAGTCAGCCTGTGACACATGCGCCTCACAACCAAGGTGAGCATCTGTTCGTGGAGCAGGAAACTCATAACACAGTGTCTATGCCGCCATGTGCGGTGGCAGGCACAGGACAGGGGTCTGCAAGTGCGGTGTGTTCCCCTGCCCCTGCAATGGCCTGCGATGGGCGTCCAGCAACATGCTCTGCACGTGATCCCATGATCATAGACTGCAGACTGCCATCATCAGCCAGGAACGTGGGCGAAGTTGTCCACTGCCCGTCCACGTACAACGTCGTCGATTGTGGTATGTGCGAGTGGAGGGATGATGAACGGACACCTGTCGCACGAGGAAACAATTCACGCCTCACCGCCTCCAATGCATCTTCACTCGCATGTGCACCCAATACCATAAATGGCTGCATGAACAGACCGCCCCCATCAGGGCTCAAAGTGGCCTCCCTCGCATGACCGGGGAAGTGCATCCATTGAGTCCTCGTCCTTCCATAGCTTAACACATGCAGGCTAGCACACAGCACCCACTCCCGCAGACACAATGGCCACGTAAACTATGGAAACAAAACGGAGGCAGAGAGGAAATATGACGGTGGTACAACCTCAGAGCAGCTGGTAAATGCAACCCAGGACAAGACGTCAGTTGCTGCCGACTTCGCCAAACATTCGCATAAACACACCTGTCCAGCATAGACAACATAGCCTGTGCGCAGAAGCAATCAACGCCAATCACCCCGTCAAGCGTGCGGCCTGGTACTCCTCTGGCAAGACAAGGACGGCAACCGCAAGCAGGATTGGTCTTGAACGGCCATGCCTGCGAATTGCTCAACCGTTGCACAGACAGAACTATGAGAGAGAGAGAGAGAGAGAGAGAGAGAGAGAGAGAGAGAGAGAGAGAGAGAGAGA